CAATCTGATCCAACAACGGTGTGTTAGACGAAGCCATACATATCTGAGATACTTTTCTGATACATACTTTTCAGATACATACATATCTGAATTACTCTAGGGTTTGCTGCATGGGATAGCTTCTGGGGCTCATTTCGAATTTGTTGATAGCAGGAACCGCATTGTACATCTTCCATGGACTTTTGCAGGTCGGAATAGGTCGTTGACCTGAAATGACCCAGGTCAACATTTTGTTTTAGGAACATTCTGCCTAGCGTAATCTTTGTCACTTACTCAGATGTAAAACTCAAAGCAATCTTGCATGATTTTGGTCACCTTGACCTTCAAAAGATCAAACAAGGTCACTGACCTTGAGTGAGAATGTGACCTTTTGCTTAGAAACGGTTTCCTACGTTCTGTGGGCACTTTGGAGACCAATCTGGAACTTGACCTTGTTTGATCTTTTTGGACCTGACGGTCATGACCTAGGGACCTGAACTTTGACCTAAGTGAGTCAACGTACAGGTCAACACATCCTGTAAATTTGGTGTCTCTAGCTCTCTTAGTTACCGAGATCTCAGCGGAGTCAAATTGACCCCCAGAGCGAATGGTATCTAGCCGGCCACCCGGGCGCGTGTTAATGTATCGGATCAAAGTTAAGGTCAAATCGAAAGTGAAATGATAAACTTGCTTATTAATCACCAGAATTCCTTCTATTGCTTGATGTGATCTGTTTGTTGTGCTCTTGTACTCCTTATAAGGGTAAAACTCGCAGCAGCTGCATGCGTTGTATGCACAACGCATGTATTAAATACAACTATAATGCATGCATATGCATGTTCTACCGGATACACTAGTGTCCATTCAGAAACTCATCGCTGCAAAGCGATTACCTATGAGTGGCACATAACTCTGCCAGGATGCGATACCTCAGTTCACAACTCATGCTACTCTTGCTTTATATCTAGGAGTGCAAATAATTAAACGAGGAAGCTTTCCCGTGCTTATCCCGCGATTCCCCAAAAGTTGCTGAAGTTGCACTATAGCGACTTTGATTTGAAGCTACACTCTGCTGACTGGGAAACAGTGTGAGCCTAGAGATACTGTATGCTGTATAGACTGGTATAGCCTCTGTACCAGCAAGCAGAATTTCATAAAAGATAACGGATGAGAGCTGGGTGTACATAGTGATGATGACTATGAGAAGCAATAGAGGAATGTGACGGGTGCTGGCTGGTGATACTGCGCTCAATGCCCTTTAGACGTCATGAAACTGTGCGTACATTGGAGGTCTTCTCTGGGTTTTACATCTGACCGCTGATTTGGCGTGGCGTAAACAAAAAAGAAATCCAGACATAAACTCACCATCCATGATAACCCGCTTAAAGAGATATTGCACGACAATCTACGCCATCCAGATCGAAATAAGAGAATTCGTTGGCATTCAAGATGGCGGCCGTCGCCATCTTGAATTCTGAGAAATATTTAAGGCTGCACAGATAGCAAGCAAGTTAATTTGAGCATCCCTGTTATTTGGAACATATATCCGTGAAAAAAGCTTATGTTAGTTAAGGCTGCAGCCAACATTTTTACATGACCATATATAGAAATTATAGAAGATTCTGCAAAGTATATTGCCAACTTATCAAGCTTGACCATAATTTGAAACTATACTGAAACAATTTCGAAGCCACGGACTTACTATCACCAAAATTTTTGAGTACTGTATGATGCAAACGCGGAATCCAGGTCAGTTGCGCGGAACACGCGGACAGCACACTCCCTTACCTTTTGTGCACTGCGTAACGACGCATGTTACCATGCATGGCTAGAATATCCCCAGTCCCACGCCAACACCTGGTGGAAGATTCCCAATCGCACAACAACGCCTGGGTGTCGACACCTACCCCGAACTTGTATCGACATCATCGCACTGCACTTGGTCCAGACGCTAAAAACAGCACGCCTGTGGTGCGATTTTTAACTCGGTCTTCAGCACCAGCTGCAGTAGCTGTCCGGTGTCTGGCGTCGGTCCCATCTGCTGCAAGTACGGGAAATCGAATGCGTAGCACTAGCCGAGGCCTCGAGCACCATGACGTATGAGTCGCGGCATGCCGACAGGGGCCCTGCCATTGTCCACTCCTGATACCGGTCTGACTGTTGTTGTTGATTGGAGTTTTAGGGCGCGTCGACTACTGCGGTCATTTTGCGCCCGGTCTGACTGAAGTTATCGCAAGCTGAAGCTTGGAGAACAACAAAAGGGGTCAGAGATGGTTATGATGTCTTGGCCTTTAACGACGCATTAAACTGCCAAAAAGCCTTTCATAGTCTGCTTTCATGATACATTCCAAAAGTGTACGATATGTTGGTCCAGCTAGTCTATCCTGGAAGACGGAAGTTTCGTCATCTGCAGCATGATAACTCACAATACCTAAAATTACAGTCAAAGGCCGTTCTTACTAGCGTCAAAACACTACCAGGATTGCGGCTCGCAATCCGCCTTGTCAGTCAGCAAAATGACGTCTTAGAAATTTTCCAAGAAAGTGAAAATACGCATGATGACACCAATTTCATTGCGAAATAGTGCGCATTAATTATGTTTACGTTTTGCGTTGTGTGACATAAAACGTCGACACTTGCTTTACTCAACGCTCATTAGGAACGAAAGGAAATTGAATAAAATCTGGACGCCATGTTTCGCAGCCGACAAAGTGTTACTTAAACACGTCCTGAAAACCCAAGTACAAAGAGGACAGTGTGACCTGTGAATTTAACTTGCTTCAAAATTTCTGCAAAAATGCATTACCTTTCATATAAATGTGAATCAACGCTTCTTTTTCGTGTTACACCAGTAATACAAATTGGATTCATCCACATGCCGCCACATGCAGTTCGATATGGATACCATCGACATAGGTGGGAGGGCAAGGGCATGACCTTTCATGGAAGCTTAACGTTGGTCCTATGGTGATGCATGGGGCGAAATGCCTTCAAATCGGGGATAAACACTGGTTGGTGGTAGACACTGGTAAGAAGAAGTGAAAGGATAAGTGGTAAGAAGAAGTGAATGGATAAGTGATAAGAAAAAGTGAATGGATAAGTGGTAAGAAGTAAATGTTCCGCAAACAAATACCGGGTATTGATGCCGTGTTTATACTTAATCATGTCTGATTGAAACTCCAGCCGCTCAATGCGTCGTTTGTCTGATGAGTGGATGTTTGAGTAACGTCATTGTTTGCGAAGCAGCTAGGAATTTCTGAAGAAAGGCATAAATAAGTGAAAATGCGGAGCATCGTGGCAACTACGCATGACGTAAATGCAAAATTGCAAATACTTAATATGCTGTAAAAGTCATCACAAAATACCTATATTGGCCAAACTCAGCCAACTATTAGCTTAAGGAAAAGGTCGAGAAAGTTTGGTGAAAGCTTGGACAACTACCAATTTTCCCAATCGGCTTGGAAATACATGCGTTTCCCCAAGCTTTCTCCAGTCGAGACCCTGTTATCCGCCATCGTTCGGGGAACTTGGAATTCCCCAAGCAAACCCAACCGTCAGGTTTGGGATTTGATTGGGGGAAATCATTTTTCAGAACGCAGTCGCGATAGGGGGATCTGGGAACGGACATCCTACCGGCATTGGCAGCCTGTACCTAACTGTAGGTAGCCTGGCGCAAGTCTCACAATAGTATTTAAATTTAAATGAATGTTAAGTCCAGGATTTTTGCCAGGAACTGTCAAGTATTTGCATTCTACATGGCACAGCAGACAGCAGGTATTGGTTAATAGTAAACAATTCGGCATATTCCACTGGGAACAGGTAGACAAATCCCGAAACGAGCCGGCTTCGAACACACAGCCTCCCGATTATGGATCCGGCATGCTCCCGATTGACTACCGAGACCCTTAAGCACGGGAAAAGTCAGCAAATTTACGGCGTACTGTGCACGAAAACCTTGACCCGGTACACTGTTGGAGTTTGGGTTGTCTGGACAGCAAGTGGTCAATGGCTCGACGCTGGACAATTAAAGATCTTCGTTTGGCGTCAGGTTCATCGAAATTGGCCTCATGGAATTCGGCTCGCAGCTCTGTGAAAAGCGGCCCTTTAAGACGTGAACGCTATCGGCTACTAGCAAAAGTACGCTGCAGAGTGGTCGTGCTCCCAACGTCTTTGATGCGGGCTGACGTGCACTGGACGTCAGCGTTCGCCAATCCAACATACTGACGTGACGCCATTGTGGTGGTATATGAACGTCCGTAGACGCCGAAATGTAAAATTGAAATGCCTTAATACAAAAGTTGCCAACATGTGCCATCTGTGTATCAATATGCGCCAATGCAGCATATGTAACGCTCCGTGTACGACGTGCCAACAGCAACCCGTTAGCTGCTATATCATCAAATGCTACACCTGGAGCGACTTTGATATTCACTGAAAAATTAAGCTTCGTGCTCAACCGTGTGAGATCAACGACGATGCCCTCAATGCGGTGGTCAACAGAAGGGCACGCGGCGTTGGTGCCTGCCAACCATGACCTTTGCCAAACGTTCCACATAACGCGAAGAACCACGAATCACAGATGTCACGCGCCAAAAGCTGTGACAAAATCGACTGTTCAGTGGTCAAACATACCTCAACGATTTTACAAGGATGGTGAGCCTGGATCAAAAGTTGACAAAAGGTCACGATTTTTTCAGTTATCTGTTCTGATGATAGGCTGTGATCCGAAGTTGACAAGGAAGTTATCACCAGCTGTCACTTTCACCAAATAACAGTATGAGAAACTCTCACCAAAGCCATCACTCGCTGCCTGACAAAGGCATGGACATCGGACACCATCTTTGACAGTGAAGAAAGTCACGCATTAGAAACGTCATAAAAAGTTAGGTTTTGGAATCTGCTTCATTGTATCACGCAAATGATTGTGAATTAGTGCCTGCTCCGTGGTGGTGAGCTATTCATGGATCGTTTGTATACGCTCCATGGTAAGGAGTTATATCAGTTGGTACGAACAGCCACTGTGAAACGATCTCGTTTTGTATTTACAAAACCCTCGTTCCACGAGCTCCGATCATCGCACGTTACAAAAATAGGCACGGACTAGATTCTGACCGAGGCAGACTCAGCTACTCCACAGAAGCAAGAAGTCAGTGCTTTCGTACATCAACGAGACGCATTGAGGATACACGAAGAAACAGACGCAAACCGCTTTTCAGTCTCCACGTTTCACTCACATGTGAGCAATGGTTGGAGCATTGTGATGACTCCACAGCCAAAGAACAAAGGTCAAAGCGCCTTCTAACTGAACTTAAATAGCTACCGAGCTTAGCGGAAACAACTAAGTAAGCATGCCTATTCATGCATTCATATCCCTAAATCTCTGCTTCTTTGGCGACAGACGTAAAAACGCTCACAAGTGACGACTGACAACATAACAAAACCAAATCAATCATCGCTGGCGCTTAGCTGCACTTTGTAAACCTAAGCCGGCCGGCACCAACAAGTCCGGTCCGGCCGTGGTCCCTTGCCAGAACTGACGGACGACGCCGTTAGCGCCGCCTATGCTGCCGCTGCTAGCGCCACCTACAGCCAAAGCCCGCGCCGGGGAGCAGCGAGGCGGTCATGGCTTCTCAATGTTATTGAAGAACCACTCGGTGAATTTGCGCAGCTGGTGAGCAGCCTGCTTGCTCTCCTCCTGCAGTCTGCGGTTGTCGGAGCTCAGCTGATAGACCTGGCGGACGGCGGCGAGGTGTCAGCACCACACAGGCGTCAGCACCACGAAGGTGTCCGTCAACACCACAGGGGCGCCAGCACCACAGAGGCGCCAGCACCACGAAGGTGTCCGTCAGCACCACAGGGGCGCCAGCACCACAGGAGCGTCAGTAACACAGAGGTGTCAGCACCACACAGGCGTCAGCACCACGAAGGTGTCCGTCAGCACCACAGGGGCGTCAGCACCACAGGGGCGTCAGCACCACACAGGCGTCAGCACCACGAAGGTGTCCTTCAACACCACAGGGGCGTCAGCACCACAGAGACGTCAGCGCCACAGAGGCGCGCGACTCGCACAGAGTCTAACCACTGGGCCGGGCTGCCGGTCGCGGATCAGGCCAGCTCAGGCCAGCCAGTCGCGTAGCGGTCCTCCACCTCAGGCTGGCAGCCCCGTCCCAAGTACAACACAACTACTGCATCGTCTCCATCACACACCGCCGGCAACCGTGCCCGTCCGTAGTGAACGCAAACGGGACTTCTTCCACAGCGGACGCAGCTGCGGCGGACCACCTTCCCAGACGCACCACGGTCCCCCTCCCCCCACTAACGCGTCCGGACACGAAGCCGTCTCCCACCTGTGACTCCAGCAGCTCGCGCTTGGCCTGTTCGCTCATCAGCTCGCGCTCCAGCAGCGAGAGCCGGCCCTTGAGCTCGTCCGACTGGCCGCTGTTGACCGGCCGGGCGTCGCGGGAGTACTGGCCGCCGCCGGACAGCGGCGCCCTGCCAGCCGGCGCAGCGCGCGTCAGAACCGGGCCGCCGGAGGATAAACGCAGGGAAGACGGCAGCGCAAGACGAGGTCACCAATGGAGCGGCGCGCTGGACTTACGCATCAAATCGGTGGATGTGAGAGTCTGGGGCACCACCAACACAGCTAATCGTAACTTCGGGATGCCTTTGACTATCGTACCAACTCACTCCGCAACGCCATACCAGGCAAGGACGTCATTTCACGTGGATCTTTCACAACACGTTGCCTTACGTGGCCAAACCACAACAACAAATCTGTGGCGTGTGCTCGCACCGCGCTCACCTGGCGGCGGTGTCCCTGACGGCGCGCGTGGCCGTGTCCACCAGCGCCTCCCAGTCCACCTGGCCGGGCGGCAGCGGCACGTCGGCGGCGCGCGGCGGCGGCAGGCCGGCCGTCACGCGCGGGGAGAGCCGCTCCTCGCGCGACACGCGCCGCAGGTCCTCGCGCCAGGCGGCGGCTGCGGCGGAGGAGGAGGCGGCGGCGGAGGCGGCGGCGGCGGCGCGCGACCCTCCGCCGGCCGCGATCACAGTCGCCGGCCGCGCCGTGGTCACGATCACGCCCGGCTCGTCGGCCGCCGGCGCCGCCGCCGGCACCAGGTCGGGCCCGATCAGGCGCAGCAGCTCCTGCTGAAGGCCGGCGCCGGCGCCCGAGGCGCGGTGGGCGCTGCAGCGCGCCGCCGCGCCCGGCCGCCGGCGCGCCTCGGCGGCGCCGCGCGGGCTGGCGGTGCGGCTCGAGCCGCTGCCGGTGGAGGGTGTGCCGGCGCCGGGCCGCAGCCGGCGTCGCAGCGTCGGCGACACGCTGGCGCCGCTCAGCTCGTCCTCGCTGCGAGCCGCCAGCGCCCGCTCAAGCGCCTCCGTCTCCGGGCTGCCGCCCGACGGCTGCCGACCACTGCCGCCGCCGCCGCCCGGCTGCGAAAGCTGCGCGACGGTGGACGCGTGGCTGGACGGCACGTGGTGTCCGTTGGCGACGTGGTTGGGCATCAGCTTCTGACCATTGACGGCATGGTTCTGTACGAGCTGATGGCTGTTCGTGGCGTGGTTCTGCATGATCAGTTGACTGTTGACGGCGTGGTGCTGCATGATCTTCTGACCGTTAACGGCCAGCAACTGCATGGCCTGCTTGCTGTTCGTGCCGTGACTCTGGTTGACCTGCTGGCTGTTGGTGCTGTAGCTGCCGCCGGCGGTGTACCCGTTGCTGCACGGCTGGCTGGCAGAGATAGCACCGTTGGCGACAGCTGACGACAGCTTTCCAGCCCTGGCCTGGCCGACGCGGCCATAGCCCAGCGGCCACAGCCCGCTCGTCACCGGCTGCTCTTTACGGAACGGCTGGGGCAGCCCCGGCAGCTGGCAGTAATCCGGCGGCTGGAACGAGACGACGGCGGGTCAGCCAACACCCGGAGGAGACACCGAGGAAGCGTTCGACCACGCACACAGCTGAACATGCCACGACAGGGACTAGAAGCAAAAAGAAAGCTGCGACAGACAGCTGATTGACACCTTGTGGCAAACACACCTACAATAAAATGGAGACCACACCATGGCGACCTTCCACGCTTAGCCACCATGCGCTTGACAGAGTTCGCTCCCACACGCGGCACGCGTCAGTGCGCCGAGTGACCGATAGATGGCAGTGCCGTCGGTCCTCACCAGCGGCGGCCGATCCGGACCGCAGTCGATCAGGTAAGTGGAGCGCGAGCGACCCGTGCTGGCCTCCGGCGCCACCGGCCGCGGCACCGACGACAGCTCCATATAGTCCAGCACCTCCTTACGCGTCGACTGTCGGCCACACAGTGCGGAGCGTTAGCTAAGCGGCATCCGCTGCGGGCTGTTGCCGGCGCAAACCGAGGGCAGGCAAAGCTACAGCCGGGTGCCAACGGCAGATCTTCGAACAGTTTTCACCAGAAGACGTGAAACTGAAGCTTACTATTTGGGATACATGTTCAGTAGGTATGTTAATAAAGGTGAAAAAGCTCAGACGCCCATATGTGACAAAACGAGGATTACATACCACCATTACATCCCACCATTCATATGACGAAAATGACACCAAACAACCACTGACTGATGAAAGTCTCACCGCGTCAGCCGGCTGCGGCGGCCGGTAGCCGGGTGGAGACGCATAGTTGTCGGCCTGTCCGCCGGGCGGCGCCACTGCATCCAGGCTGCGGCTGGCCGCCAGCCGCTGCCGGTGGCGCGTCGGCAGCGGCGGCGGCGGCGGAGGCGACTCGGCCTCGTCCGGCGGCTCGCCCCAGCGCTCGGCCGAGCCGCTGGACGAGCTGCTGAGCGTGCCGCTGGCCTCGGGCGAGAGCGAGGCCGGCGCGCCGAAAGAGCGGCCGCTGCCGCCGGTGCCGTAGCCGGAGCTGACGACGGACGGCGGCGGCGGCGAGGCGCCACGCTCGGCCGCCACCGGCCGGCCGCCCGGCTGCTGCCGGCACGCCGGCTGGCGGGGGGCGCTCGCCGCCAGCGCCGGCACGTTCTCGTAGTCGCCCTCTGGCGGCGGCGCGCCGCAGGAGGGGAGCGCGCAGCCGCGCCGCGGCGCGCCGTCCGTCGCCGGCGGCACCACTGTCACCGACACCGTCAGTGACGTCTTGAGCAGTTCCACCATCTGGTCGTGCGTCATGGTGCAGACAGCCATCTGGCAGATCTGGCGAGCGACGGCGGCGTCAACAGGCCACGCTTGAGAAACGAGAACGACCTCGAATACTGATGGGAGATCACTGATCTTGCTGCGCTGTCGACCTTAACGAATGAGACCACAGCACAGGCCCGGCCCTGACTGTCCACGGTCAGAACGCGCCAAACGTTGCCGACCAAACCAAGTCATTCGCAAAGCACACACTGCGCGGAAGTGTGTCGTACGACACGGCACCAGACTTATCATCCCAACCGTGCGCACGCCACCAGCTGACCCCGTGCGGACCCTGCCCTGTCTGCGAGAGGCGACCACCGACCTGGACCAGTTTGGCGTTGGGCCGCAGGCCGGCCTGCCAGGCGGCGCTGTAGCTCTCCACCTCGGTGACCAGACCGTCGTGCTGCACGTGGAAGCCCAGCTGGCCCATTGCATTCCGGCGCAGCAGCAGCTCCTGCGGCAGCACGGGCCAGGGGTCAGCACCTAACCACGCTGGAGGGATAGACAACCTGGCCGCGCGGGGCTACACAGTACCGGCGCATCTCCGGTGACGGCACAAAAACTGATGGATTTAATCGTGTGCTCCTCATACACGAGGCACCAGTTCATCTCGTTCAGGGCCGTCGTGGCTATATCAGTATCCGTGGGCACATGAGTCTGTGTAGGAAACGTGCGATTCTACCGCACAATCCATGCAACTATCATTTCCTTCTTTCTCGCGTGAACAAATAACTTTCCATTTACGGTTTCCTCAGCCAAACTCGAATTTCTTACCTATCCCAAACCAAAGCGCCGGTCCCTCGCCAAATCTCCGTACCAAACCACCACCATAATTCAGAACACGGTCGCGGTGCCGGACCGCGTCCCCCGCCCCTCCATCGGCGGGCACACGGAGTAGGCCAGCCACCAGAGGGTCGTACCTGGGTGTCGGTGCCTCCGGAGACGGCCGCCAGCCGGGCGGCGACCTCGGCCAGCTCCTCGGTGTCGAGCGTGGTGCGCGGCCGCAGCACCAGGCACTCGCCCAGGTGGTAGTACACGCAGAGGCTGCCGGGCGCCGCCACGTCAACACGCGGCCACTCACCGACAAGGGGCACGCGGGTCACCGGGGACAGAAGGACGACATGACGTGTAGGCGCCACCCTCCTGATCTGTGCCAACACACCAGCGCTAATCCCTAACATTCCAGTGTCTCTCGTCAACTGGGCTCGACAGACTGTCGGCTGCACCGGGAGACATCGTGCAAATCGGACAGCCTTCCAACAAACCCCCCTTTAACACAACCAGACGCACTACGCGAACGCGACTCAGCCCGGCCGCATTGGCGGCGCGGCGCAGACAGCTGACCTGGTGCCCTGCAGCGTCCAGCCCAGCACGCTGGCGACGGGCGCGGCGAACAGCAGCGCGCCAGCCGCCTCCTCGGCCAGCACCAGCGAGTCCGCCGACACGCCCAGCACGCAGTCCACCTGCAGGCGCCGCAGCGATGCGTTAGGGAGAGCGGCTGTGACGGACACGTGGCGCCGCTCCGCCCCGCTCGCTGCACGGAACGCGACGTGCGCCCTCGGCAGGCGCCGCAGACGGCCGCGTCTCTCCCCCGACGGAACGGCCGTGACGGCGCCCCCCATCAGACTTTTCAAGGCTGATCAGGTCGAAGGCAGAACACGACATCAGCACCGAACTCCCTGCACAAACGCTTTCATTCAACTCCCCTCCCCCCCCCTCCCCACCCGCCCGAGAGAATGCGCAGTTTCCCCTTAACGCCCCACCCGTGAGCGACGGCCACCTCCAGACGGCCGGCCCACGAGCGAGCGGCGCCTCGCGTGCCCGCTCGGCCTCGCACCTGTTTGCCCAGAGACTGGTCGTCGACGGTGACCTGCCAGCTGAGAGCGCCGCGCTGCACGGCGTCCGGGTTGAAGCGAGGCCGCAGCCGGTCCTTCTTGCGGCTGCTGAACGACATGATAGCTGCAACGGGGGCGTCACCGTCACCCAGCGCCCACGAATGGAAACGCGGGTCACTGCCCCGGGCGAGCGTGACGTAGCCGTCCATATCCAAGGTACGGTGGCCACGCGGCGACAGCGCTATTCGCAACAATCGCGAAATGGAAGGAGGCACAACACATCAACGCATGCGTCATGTTTCTGCCACACCGGCATAGGATGTTGAAGAACAGAGCACAGCTGGCTCAACAACTTGTTCCTTTCGTATACACCGGATCCTGCAGAGCCCAGCTATCATAACACTGCCACTAGATACAAAGACTGACACAGCACATCCGTAAACAACTGCAACTACAAATGCAAAGGCTACTCCAGGGTCTTCCGCTTGGGTTTCGTCATTCCCCTGCCTCTGCATGACCGGCACCACGGGGTGGCGGCTGGCCAGACCGGCACACCACACTGGCCAGCACTGACACGACACAGACGCAGCCGAGCGAGGTCTCGCCACCGGCCACAGCGGCGGCCCGTCAGCCCGCCACGACCTGACCTCAGCGACCGTGACCTCAGGGGTCGCGACCACCTGACGCGTCCGCCTCCCGGGGCGCCGCCGGACGCAGGACTCACAGAACTTCTGCGCCGCCTCCAGGCTCGTGTCAGTGAGGTAGTTGGCCGCCAAGTCGCGCAGGTACTCCTGGCGCGTGCGCCGCGCCATCGTCACGAACTTGTCCGACTGGTACGCCGCCGTCTCGGCGTTGATCACTGCGAACGCGCCCGCTCGGTGAGACCCGGCTCGGGCGGAGACGGAGCCGCTGTCGGATAGCACAACGCAGGCCGCCGCCGGGCCGCTCGTGCATGATGCCGACCAGCACAGCATTCCCAGCTGCACTGTCAACACTGGCAAGCATAACTATTACGTCAGGCGAACACGGAACATACACCTCGCCGCCCAGCAACCAGTCTTGAAGGACGCCCCGCACTGTGCAAACACAGTCACGTGATAGGCCGTACACACACCCGCATGCCAGAGCCTACCCCTTTCCCCATTCCGAACACATACCTTTGGCGTAGAGGAACTCTGCGAACGCCCTGGACTTGGCGAACGTGGCGTGCTCCGGGATGGGCGGCCCGAACGGCGGCACGTCCCGGAACCGGTTCACAGCCACCCTGAAGTCAGGTCAGGTCAGGTCAGGTCACGGGCATGTCAGAACACCATCGCGCGGCCATGCAGTACAGGGAGGGTGCCGGTGCGCCGGTGCGTTTCCGGTGCAAGCCGCGCGTATGTGAGCGGCCTGTGGACGTGTTGAAGGTCGCGGCACTTACTAATGCAAGTGCGCTTATCACCCGAGCTCATCCTTTCAGCGCAAAGAAAACGCAGTAGGCATGGGCACTCCCTTCCTTTGCTGGCAAATGCCGCAAATCCACTCAACCCCACCACGCCCACCACATGACGAAACCCCTCGGCCGTAAATCTATCCGAGTCCGTCGAAACAACGGCCGAGTTGCGCCCGCAGCGGCCGCAATCACAGCAGCCTGCCGCCAGCAGGACCAGCGGCGGAGCGCCGGCTCACCTGTACTGGGTGTTGTCGGAGCACGGGTTCACCGCCTGCACCACGATGAACACGTGCTGGAACTGGGAGCGGATGTGCTTGGGTGTGAACGGCAGCGCGCCCGGCTCCTGGAAGACGATGGTGACGATGTCGTTGCCGATGTAGCGCTTGCGCAGAAGCTGGAACAAGGCCAGGACGTCAGAGATCGGCGGGTAACATGAGCACGTTAGACCGCTAACAGACGGCAGACGGCTAGGGGCGCACGCTGTTGTTGACTTAGTCCGCGATGTAATACAGTGTCTTAGACTGATCACGCCTCCCCCTCTTAACACGCACAATGCAGATCGACGGCATTCACGGAAACACAAACGCTGGAAACCATCCCGATCGGGACAAAGTCAGAGACCAAAACAAGTCAATCGAAAAGCAAAACAGTCGTCAGTAATTCCGCTACGGACAAACATGCGCCCGGCCCAACACGGAGCAAACCAAAGCGACCGAACGTGCCTCCACACAAGCCGACCCCGGCCATAAAGAGCGCGGCCGCCGGCGCGCGACTCCCTCTGACGCGCCGCCACCTCCGCTTCCGTAATCCAGCCAATCAGCAGCCATTAATCGTGCCATGGAGCCGCCGGCCGGGCCCGGCGCGCCCGCTTGCTTGATAAACACCGATATCCGGCGGAGGGCCGGCGGCGTTCCGACCCGACGCGCGTCCGCCATCACTCAGGCGTCGCTCCCACGGCCGCAGACAGCGCGCCGCGTCCAATTACAGGGCCGGCGGCGCGCGGCCGTGACGCGCCAAAACTGCCGCCGCCCGGTGGCCGGGCTCTGCCCCGACACGTCGAACCTCCTCACGTGGTCGGCTCTCGCTCTGCCGCTCCTTGTTTACACACCGGGCTGACTGCGTGCCCCGTCCGGCATCGCTGTCTCAAGCCCGTCATCCTGGCGAATGTGTTACCAAGCGCACCCAGAAACTGCATTTTGTGAGTGGGTGCGCTTTAGGAGATACGAGGCCTCACGAAATGCAGTAGCACGCGGATGACGCAGGCGCGCAGCTGGCGCCCGTCTGATGTAAGAGCGCATGCAGTTGGCCGTAAAACAGAGCCGCGATCGGTGCATCCCCAAACATGCGGCGAACGGCACACTGGCCGGCGCCGCGATCACGCCGATGCCGCGCACGCCACGGCTCCAGCCACCTGGGAGCCGAGGAGCAGGCTACTCTACCCGCACGCCACGGCTCCGGCCACCCGGGAGCCGGGGAGCAGGCCTCTCTTGCGCACGCTACGGCTCCGGCCACCTGGGAGCCGGGGAGCAGGCTACTCTACTTGCACGCCACGGCTCCGGCCACCCGGGAGCCGGGCAGCAGGTTACTCTACCGTGCACGCCACGGCTCCGGCCACCTGGAAGCCGGGGAGCACGCTACTCTACCCGCATGCTACGGCTCCGGCCACCTGGGAGCCGGGGGAGCAGGCCCCTCTCCCCGCACGCCACCGCTCCGGCCACCTGGGGCCGGGGGGCGGACCACCCTGCCGCACGCCCAGCGGCCGGCACCCTCTGTCGCCGCGCACCGGCAGCTAATACAGCCGAACAGCGGCGACACACTGCACCAACCGTCCGGCTGCGACGAGAGCTGCCTGGCCGGGAGCATTGGCGAGGAAGCACGCCGGACCGGAAGGCCCGACGAGGAAGCGTGCGTCGGCGACGACGGGCGTCTCAAGGCAGCGGCCACGGACGACCACGACCGCCAGCATCGTGGCCAAAGGCAGAAGGGAAGAGCGTCCCCGGACAGCCCCTCACTCGTGACCACCGCAGCGCCCCTATCGACGTCTCGGCGGCGGCCCCGTCTGATAGCGGGCTATCCGCCCCGCCCCCGTCACGAGCCACGCTGCAGGAGCCTCGTAATCCGGAGGAGGTCGGGCGGCGCTGAGTGGCCGGCGACGTACGGCGATGCACCAGCGGACCACAGCGGAGCCTGTTACCGGTCTCTGACTCAGGCGCGGCGCACGCTCTCGGGCACGGCCCGGCTGAGTCACGCAGGTGACACACGGCCGTCACGGTGGTGCTGGCTGAATGCGGCTGGTGCCGTGAACTGGGGTAGAAACAGGATGGCCACGCTCGCTGCTGCCCCCCCCCCCCCCCCCCCTCTTCCCTCCGCTCCCCCACCCACACCCAGTTTTACAAACGTGCCATAGTTTGAGCACGGTTTGTGGAGAGGATCGCTAAAATTATGGGACAGCTGCGCACGTTCTTTCATGCTGTCTTGCCCCAGACTGAACTTTGGTATCTCAGGCGCACATATCGAAATCCTTCTCAAAAGATCATCCCGGCCAAAAGTCACGCGCTGCTGGACAGCCACGAAATCTGCATTCCATAATGTTTCATCAGTCGACACTCAGCTCCCAGGCCGGCAACATCCAACCGACAGCACCTTAACGAACGGGATGAAAACGTCAACTATTTCGACACTACACTGCCGTACATGACTTAGGCGGGTGGTGAAAATGCCATACACCCCGACAGCGTACTGAGGCAAATGGTTTAACTAAGCGCACAAATGATGACCGATAAAAGGTACTGAAGGATGTCCAAGTGGCCCCTGCGTGGATAGCCTTTCACCACGTCTAAATAATGCGACCTGCTTCTCGACCATTTATATGCAGTGTATCATATGCATTCGATGCAAGCAAACATTCAAATTCTTAGCATCTCACGATGTGAGAACGCACAAACTCCGCGACCGCGCAACACAATGTAGATAACTGTACACAGCAAAACGCGTCGTGATACCGCAAACGGGTCGGATGCTGTTTATTCATGCATTCCTGTGATGAAAAATGGAAAACAGGTCCCGGTCCGTTAACAAGCTGATACACATCAGCCCCACTGATCCGCCGTCCGGGGCGGCTTACCGTGTGAACAAACTCGACAAGCAAGTTCCTGAAATATTCCAACCCTGTCTTCTGACTGCAGCTGAAGACTATCTTCACGCCAAAGCCAGCTCTAAGCTTGTTCGGGACACGTCAGTCCCGCTCCGCCTGTCACACCACGCCGGGACAGTAACCTCAGCGGCGCCTCGGAGGGGGGCCGTTCAGCGGCGCCTCCGAGGGGGCCCGTTCGGCCCGCCGGCGGCCGTGCGCTCGCTCACCTGCTGCCGATTGTTGGGCGAGAACTGCAGCATGGTCGACACGTGGAACATGATCTCGTTCTCCTGGTACTGGGCGTACACCGAGTACTGGCCCGTCGAGTCGGCTGCGGACACGAACACAGCGTGGTCATCGTCACTGGCGCATGCACGCTTGGCCGACGAGAACTCCGTTTTAACACGTGGGCCAGGGCATGCGTTGGGGTTCTCTCGATTGTTCCCATCCAGCAACAGTTTGGACTGCAAAACCGTCGTTATAACCTTGCTGTTTTCGGACCCCTTTGCTCGCACGGCGCGATTGTAAAGAACAAAAAAAAAAAAATATCAAATGTAGTTTGACATTCTGAGCTTGGCTTCTGCTCCTGTGCGAGCGCACGCAGACGCGCACACTCACTTTTGTTGTCCAGGCCCGCCTTGTACTTGTCGAAGCCCTTGAGCCGCACCCGCTGGCCGAGCATCTCGAGGAACTCGTCCAGGGCGGGGCCAGACTCCTCATTGTTGTACATCTCCTCTTCGGTGCCCTGGCCGGCTCGGCAGTACATGACGCCCACCTGCGGAGCGGGTCAGCAGAGGTCAGCAGAGGTCAGCAGAGGTCGGCAGAAGTCGGCGGCCGCCCGCCGGCGGTGAGGCGCGAGCGGGGCGACGCATGAGCACGGGGACGAGCAACGATCACGGGAGTCCGCCATTGATCACGGGACATCGCGACACACGGCGTGGTCGTGGCGGCATAGCATCCCTCCACTCTTACATAAACGCCAAGCGACGGCGACTCGGCCATGTTTCATGACGTAATGCCGCCGACGCCACGCAGGCGGTCTGCCATGTCCCCTGACCGTGGCGACACGCCAAAGTAAGCACAAGGGGCGCGCGAGGCTAACGACACACCACCTCACCGCCGCCCAGGCCCCAGCCCGGCTCCGTGACAGTGCGCAACACATGCGCACAGTAGTCTCGCTCGTGTCGGCGTGTGGTGCCAGACCGCGGCGACCGGGGCCGCTGCCGCTGCCGCTGCCGCCACCGAGTGACCTCCCCAGGCGGCGTGACTTGGCAGGGCCGCGTCCCGAGATATGACCAATCGGCAAATCACACATGTCACGACTCACGGGACTCATGATTCGGATTTCCGATCGTGACTCGAGGCGGCCGCAGTTCCTTTCGTGCTAACGACGGTTTACCAACAGGCACTGTGTGGCGGATCGGGTTAGGAAATACAGGCTCTGGCGCTGAAAAGCGGCTGCGATTATGAAACCGGGACGTGGCACCGAACAGAAGCTCGGGTTATGACACCGAGTGCTGTCCATGTGATGACGCGGGTTGGAGCCCTCGTTTCCTGCAGTCCGTCAGCCTCCGAAGGACCACGGACGCCTCG